TTTTCACCTTGTTCATCTCCTCTCCTAATAATTCAGGGCCCTCGGTTCATATTCTTGTAATAGGAGCTCATTTCTAAGGTAACAATGCATCTGCTAACCCATTTACTGTTACCATAATTACTAAATAGGAAAAGAGTTTCTTTATAGAAATACAAGACCGCAGAAGCATGATGTTTAACAACCTTTTCTACATAAAGAAATGGGACTGACAGCCAAATACTTCAGGAGACGTACTGGGTCGACTCCATAACCTCTTCACATATTGGCCTTACTCCAAGACGCTTTTACTATTCCATTTATTATAAACATCTAAAATAGAAACATAATATTTGTCAAAACAGTTTCAAGACTAAACGTCTAACTAGGTTTTTCTTAGTAGGTGGAACTTTTGGCTTAATGTTTAAATCTTCATCCACTCCTTGGACACCATCATACCACCCTGCCAATGTTCAGTTCATTGCATAAAGTGATTTAAAAGTTGGTATCACATCTATCCTTACTTTGTATTATTTTTGGATTGCAGTTTCTAGTGAAATAATTCTATAACAGTGATTTCTCTAAATATCCTTCATGTATGTGCTCTTTGCATATATAATATAGAAGATTAGTATGATCAATGTTTTGTAGAAAGAGATAGACCAGTGTTGAATAGTCAGTCTTAAATACTATAATATCTGTGATGAAAATTCAGGAAATAAAACACTTCAATCTCAACTAAAACCTAAAGTGTTTTTGACATTTGAGATTAAAAGGATTATCTTATATACCACTCAGCTTAGTAGGTGTGTGGGGTGGTATATTTATCTCTTATTCTCTCTTCCATTCTTTAGTGTATTTCTAATAACAATGTCACAGTTTTAATAAAAAAGACATACCTGACTGGTTGAAGTAATAAAAATAAAATTCAAATATTGAAAACCCCTGAATTAAGAGTTTCTACCTTTCTTTTATGTAGAAAATGTAACAGACTGGTATATTATATAACATGAATGGAAGAAAATACAATTTAAAAACATAACTAAGAAAACTTGAAATTAAATCAATGTAATTGGTAAAACTATAACAAATTAAACTTTATTATTGGTAACAGAAAAGGAATGACAGAAATACAACACTATTACTAAGTTTCCATTCATTTATCCTGTATAAGTCATCAATAAAATCAGTTTCTATCTACATACACACACACTTGAATACACCCATACAAACAAACACACACACAGGCATGCACATGAACATATATGAGCACACATACACATAATTATACACACATATTCATAAATATACACACAAATACACACAATGAGTCATATACACATACATACAAACATACACACAGACATGCATGCAAATACATATAAATATATACACACAGACATGCATGCAAATACATATAAATATATACACAAAGACAGCAATGGTGCACATATACACATGCAGGACATATACAAGTAGATAAAATAAGACATACATGCAATTTCTATGAATACAAATATTTGAGTCAAACACAATTTTAATTTCTAATATATTATACATTTTATATATGCTTATATTTTCAATCAACAGTGCCTATGGATAAAGGTCTGAAAACCTTCTATATCATAGAACCACAATAATGTTAAATTTAGTTTTACACAAAGTGTACATCACAGATGCACTATCATAATAAGTTCTGACTGAGCATTAAACAGTCCATCCAGCATTACTGTAACCATCTAAGAAAATGGTACTACTATATTGGAAACAGATTTTATCAAGGTAATCTGTTTTCTATTTATGACTGTCTGCATGATTGACAGTTGCAAGGAACCATGAAATAGATGTTGGAGACAGATTTGTGATTATGAGTATATATGGTTGACTAAACCCACTGAACTCTACTTTTGTGTAAGAAGGTAAAGGTTCACCTGGGAAGCAGTGGCTTTCAGTGCCACCTTACCTATGAGATTTTTCACTTTGTTTCCAAGTATTTTAAACTGTACAGAGTATTAAAATCTTCTGCAATGAGACTTGAGGGTAAATAAACGCAAAATTTTACTTGCATAATAATACCAAGTACAGGGTTGCCAGTCCTTGTGAAGCAATAATGGTAGAAGCAGCACCATTCTAAGTAAGCTAAGGGAAACAAGGTCATCACTAAATGTTACTATGGTCCACAGAAGCAGTATCCACTTCAGGGAATGGGGCTTTAGCACTGCGCAATCATTGCAGCCATGTATTTCCCGTATATTCCACAAAAGAGAAGTATATCGTAAGTTCAAAATGATTGTGGTGTCAGTCATTAAATGTTTCTTACTTAGATCAAATCAATCACCATTTAAAACAAAGGCATATTACGCAAAATTTTTATTTTGAGCTGTGTTTTAGAAATGTAAACTTGGGGATCCTATGTCGAAATTTGCTAAAGACAATATGAAGTCATGGTAGAATTCGGTTCCCTTCAGATGAGGCACGCATTGCAGTGCATCAGCCCCCATGTCCTGTGCTTGTCATCCCACACCATATTCATTCGTGGTCACTGCAGGCATGCAAGCTTCTCTTACATACTGTCTACTTCTAACACTGACACCAAATCTCCTGTTTGATCCTTACCAGTGCCATAGCCATGAACAAGTTATTTACAGTCATAGAGTCTAACCATCACATATAAAACTGAAAGAAAACCTCTATCGAGTCACAGGGTGACTATGAGAACTAAATGAAAATGTGAACAGACGATTTTGGAAATTCTGAAGTCAATGTGAATAAAGCATCATTCATTTGTTATTGAATTTCCAGTAAGTTAACAAATAACCATTTGTAAATATATTCCTAAATGAATTTAAAGCCCCAAGATTAGTCAGCAGAAAGAAATGATGAATGTTATAGTACCTTAGATATACGAATTAAAGTTGGTGAGATGCTCAGCAGGTAAAGACACTTTCCACCAAGCCAGACGCCCTGAGTTTAGACCCAGAACACAAATGGTGGAAGGAGAGAGCTGACCTCCACAAGATAATGTCTGACTTCCAAACACATGCATACAACCACCCCACATACAAATACATCAATGTAACAAAATGTGTTTTGAAAAAGATGGTGACTATTAGAATATAAGAAGAGAACATGCTATCATATTAGAGGTTATTTTGTTTAACCCACTTATGCTATAATCAATTCAATGTAATTTTATTTAATCAAGAGTTATGCCATAATACTTTACTAAAATCAAGGACACAGAGCAGGTATATATATATTTTAACTGATTCACTGTTCACAGTTTGTCTTTGAAACATATTTATTTGCTTTCAGAATATACAACATCAATACTCATTTTAACACATTAAATATTAAGTTGTCATGAAGAAAGGCAACAATACTCTGAATAATGCTATAAAAAAACAGACAACCTTTAGGAAGAGAGACTTTTGATTATTACATCAATCTTGTTGTGGGCCATAGATCTGTTTAAACTATTTATTGAATTTTTGTATATCACTAGATTTAGACATGTTTTGGGATTTCAATTTAGTAGAATAAAAATTTTAAGACATGCCCTTATGATTTCCTGAAGTCTATTTGCATCTCTTGCAATGCCTCCTTTTTCATATTTAGTTATAATAGTTTGATACAGGACATTTAATGTTCAAACATTTAAAAGGACAGCTTACCTCAATATCTAAAATGAAGAATTTAAAAATTAACAAAAGTATATGAAAATAGACTAATAAAATTAACCATAATAGGGATATCAATGAAAAATAAGATGCAGTCCTTTTTCACCATAGTTAGAATATCTAATGTTTAAAACAGAAAAAGCTGGTAAGGATGTACATACAGTGTTGGAGGAAGTGTATATTAATATAATCATGATGGAAATCCCAAACTAACAAAAAAACCACATACATACACACATACATACATGCATACTGCAAGGTACAGGCATTACACTGACGTGCCCTGTTACCCGGCAAAATGCACTCAGGCAGCACTCTGGCCAGCCCAGAGTTATGTGAGAACCATGCAGGTGCAAAGGACCCCTTTAAAGGACTGCCCACTGCCCACTTACTCTTTCTTTTTAATATATATATATATTATTTTTAAATTAAAATTTAAATTAGAAACAAGGTTGCTTCACATATCAACTCCAGGTCCCTCTCTGTTTCCTTCCCCTCCTTCCATGCCCTCCCACCAACCCTCCCAATATCCCCTCATTTCCCCAGGGAGAGTGAGGCCCTCCATGGGCATGTCCATAGACTGTCATTTCATCCAGGGCAGGGCCTAGACCCTACCCCAAGAGTTCAGGGTGAGAGTGCATCTCTCATTGTTGGATGGGAGTCCAAAATCCATGTGTATACTCGGGATGAATACTGATCTACTACTCGCTTAAGCTCTTTTACTCTCGTCTTCCTCTCCATCTCATCATCTCTCTGTCATCTCTCTCTTTTTTACTCTTTTTACTTTCTTACTCTCATCATCTCTCTCTCTCTCTGTCTCTCTCTCTCTATCTCTCTCTCTGTCTGTCTCTGTCTCTGTCTCTCTCTCTCTCATCGTATCTCTCTGTCCCTTAGCTCTGCATGGGTTGATTACCTCTCATCCCCCTTTCCTTCCCTATCCACCAATAAAACTCCACGTGGGATCGTTGAAACACAGTTTATGACTCATTATTGGTAAACCTAGACATTTTAACAACACATACATACATACATACGGTATATATATGTAAAAATTTCTAGTTTTCTCAGATTGAGTATATGTCCAAAAGCATAAAAATATGAACCAGAAAGAAACTTGCACACTGTCTTCTGTAGTATTATATGCAGTGCTGAAATATGGAATAGGCTTTGCTTTTCATCATAAAAATAGGCAAAAATTATTATATGTTTACAAAGTGAAGTATTATTCAGCCATAAAGGACAGAAAGTTTCCATTTGCTGAAAAGTAAAAAAAAAAATAAAGATCTTTGTATAAAATAAGGCATGTCAGATTCTGAAAGAAGAGTGTTACATGATTTCACTTACTATGGAATCCAGGATCAGTCCAATGGAAAGCAGAGTGTGACTGTTAAATATTGGAGCGCGTGTGGGCCAGGATGAGGACAGGTTTTGATAAGTGCATGCTACCTGCATGAAAAGAAACGTTGCTTTGAATTCAGGTAATAAGTATATTTAGTGAATACTGACAAAATATGTATAACTACAGAATTAAAATCTAAGTATTACCTTATTAACTAAGATTTCTTTAATCTATAGAAATGTCAATTTTAACTGTTTTGTCCCTTTTACTGATACTATTTTCAAACAGATTTTTCCTGAACTAACTCACACATATGTGTGTAAATACACACTTTGAAAATGATCATCTGTATTTCTAAATATATTTTTCAAAAACAAATACTTATCTAAAAGCCATGGTTTGCAATTTTTGCTTTCCACTTTAATTTGTTTCCTGCTTCCTGACTTTCTCTGCTCCGTAAATTGATGGCTATTCATCTTGGAAGCTGGAGTATCTTCAGCTACCTTTGTTTGCTCTTCTGGTGATGGTATGCAAAGAAGGGGGCATGTCATTACATATAAATTTCTTCCCTTACAAATGTAGATTCCCTTTGCATAAGTTTTCTTTCATTCATCTGCTTAATGGACATTATCAACCAGAAGAAAATCTGCTGTCAATGAAACCTTCAGTTTCATATAATGGCATACCTCTTGTATTGACATGTGGATGTTAACCACACTCTGACAACATACTACGTCACTGAGCTTTGCATGAGCCTGTGAGCAACAAATTAGAATATCTGTTTCCACGTCCAGAGAGTACAGCCCAGAAAAGTTTAAGGACTCATCCCGTACCTCATCATCTTCCCCATAGCAAAGAGAATTCATCCTTACTTTTTCAGATGCCAGAACCTCTACCCTTTTTTACCATTGCTTCCCCAGGAACTGCTTTCTAAAAGGTTCTTACTGTCTTTAGTGCTGACACCAGCCATAACACTTCTAAGGGACAGAGATTATTAAGAAAATATTGAATCCCAGCACTCAGGAGGCAGAGGCAGGTGGATCTCTGTGAGTTCGAGGCCGGGCTGGATCAGCAGCCTCCAAAACAATACAGAGAAACCCTGTCTCGTAAAACCAAAAAATAAAATAAAGTAAAATAAAGAAAGAAAGAAAATATTGGATGCTGGAAAATAAAGCATGAATAGCTACTCTTCTTTAAAGACAGTATGTTGAACTTTTCATGAGTTAGTCAAAGCCTAACTATGGTGGTATTCAGTGAGAGATACATGTGTTACACAATTAGACTCATTACACCTGAGTACATGAATATTTCCTGATTTCTTTAGTAAATCAAACATAGGAGGAAGCATTTTCATAAAAGACAACCATTTTATATTGTATTCAATTTCCCTTGACCTGAATTTGATCCCAAAACCAAAACTCTGACATGTTACAACCACTATATAACTTGAAGACACTATGATAAGTGAATCATGCTCACAAAATATAGATGTTTGAGCAGTGAGACCAGGAAAGGCAGAGAACAGAATGGCAAAGCCATTTGGGGGGAAATGAAACCAGCCTGTTACAGGGTCTGCACAGACACAGTATGGAAGCTGAGGCATTCTGGACTGAGGGCAGCAGCAATATTTTGCAGTATTAGCAGTAGTGTGAATTCTTCTCTTGCCACTTCTGAAAGCATTACTTCATGTTTCCTTGTGTTTTTTCTCTTGAAGTAGGAAGCTAACTGAAAGTCACCCTGGTGTCCTGTCTTCTACTGTGTTGTTTTAATTTCTACTGCATGGCTGAGTAGAGCACTGGTTTTCAAACCAATTTCATTAAATTTTGATTTAAGGTTTCAGAATTACATGAGATCTATAAAATTGAGAACTTTGAATGAAAGTTGCATAAGAGTTTTATGTTAAACTACCTAGTAATTCTTGTTATAAATCTCATTTGCAAGCATTTTATTATCTTTTGAGGGGACTGTTTTTTGTTTGTTTTTACTGTGTGGTCTCAGCAGAATGATGATAGATAAACCCATATGTCAGTGCTGTAGAGACATCACATTTTAATTGTCTCATTAAAAATATTCACACTTAGGATTAAGAAAAGTTTCTACTATTCCTCTCTGCACTACCTAATATAACATGAAAGTTCACATCATTTGTCATCTACCACACAAGCCCTGATGACTACCAGAAAAAATAACATTCATTTTATCCATAAGGGTTTATAAAAAGAGTATGTCTCCAGAAAGTCTAATAATGCCCATTGATCCATAAAACTTGATGGAATATCATTATGAATCTGTCCTAGACAGTAATTACCTTTTATATATGCATGAGCACTTATTCCATACAATATGGAAATTTTCTTAGACCAATACTGGAAAATACAACTATTTAGCTAGAAAGCACTAACGTGTCCATTTTTTTTTAGAATTTTCATGTGTGTATGTGTGTGTGTGTGTGTATAAGCAAGAAAATAATGTTTAAATAAACAATTAGCTTTAAAATTTCTATAGGAAATTAAAAAGTTACCTCTTCAAGGGGAAAATAGCCAATATTTGTAAGAGAAAGACAAATACATGGATAATAGTTATGACATATCTTCTCTAAAAGTATTTTTCTCATAATATAAAATTAGCCTTCTCGATCTATAACGAAGTTATTATATCAAAACATCAGAGTACATAAAATTTGCCAATTGCTTAAACAGATCTGCTGAAACAAAGACCTCACTCCTTAATCTGGCTTGCAAGTTTGAGAGTGAAAGAAACAAACCTATCTTAAGCCACATTAGGATCTGTGTGGCCACACAAGGTTGGTTGTTTATGCCCTGAAGTAGAAATTACAAGGCACTGGTAATCTGAGATGCATTTTATCCTACAGTTAATCATTGACTCTCCAGGGATGCCCAGATTTCCCCACAACTTCCTGCCTTTTATGAAGCAAACTCTAGAGAAGTCAACACTGTCTTTATGATTCATGAGTCAGCTCAGATCCCCTCATTTGCATCAGAGCATCTGGGTCTGATAGAGGAGAGAAGGCACAGTATCCTGTCATGGCTTTCCTGATACTATGAGAAAGAGGCTGCCTCATAGAACTCAGTCACAACTCAGCCCAGAGCTTCCAATGAGCTTCAGAAATTGTAGAGGCTTCTTGCAGTAGATGGGAATAAATACAGAGCTAGACAAGAAGCAGAGAATGAGAGACCTTTGAATAATCTGTCCTGAATGAGATTTATCTATCAATTCTTTCCCCTTTGCTGCTCTGGGAATCCTGGCTGAAGAGGAGGTGAACAGATTTTGAGAGACAAAGGGGATGGAGAAGACCAAAGAAACAGGCTTTCCAAACACAGCAGGAGCCACATGCATATGAACAGAAGTATGGAAGCATTTACAGGGCCTTCATGGGTCTGTCCCAGAAGGGTTTCCAGCACTTAGAGGAGAGATGGACCTAATTCCATAACCCTAACCCAGAAGTTATCTACATTTAATAACTAGTCACAAATGAAAATTAGTATTCTCCAAAGGAGTCTTACTAGGTATACAAACCACTCTTCAAAACAGCTCGTATGCCCAACAGTAGGTGGCTGTGGTAGTTTGAATGTATTTGGCCCCCAGAAGCATATAGCGAATGTCACCATTAGGAGATGTGGCATTATTGGAGGAAGCGTGTCACTGTGGAGGTAGGTTTTGCTCATATATACTCAAGTCATGCCCAGTGTTCACACCACTTCCTGTTGCCTTCAGGTCAAGATGTAGGACTCTCAGCTTCTTCTCCAGCATGATGTCTGCCTGCATGCAGTCATGTCACACCATGATGAATATGGACTAAACCTATGAAAATGTAAGCCACCCAGCAAAATGTTTTTCCTTTATAAGAGTTGCTGTCACCATGGTGTCTCTTCACAGCAATAGAAACCCTAAGACAATGGCCAACACAAAATGAACTCAATTCTTGGGGGGTATACTTTGTCTATTGTTTTCTATGTTCATTTTTATCCCTTTATTCTCTATAATCAAAGGTCTTTCATTCATATATTATGGTTTCTAATTTTGTTCTTTTTAGGGGATTTCTCTGTGTACCGATAAGTTTATCTCTACATCTGTATGTGATTCTAGTGCTTTTTCTTTGGCTTTTTTTGTGTTTGTTTTATTGTTGTTTGGGGTTTCCTGTTGTATTATTATTCTAAACTGCTTTGTTTGCTTTTTATTTCATACTATTATTATTAACATTATTATTAAAGTTTAGAACAAGACAGGATATGGATTTGCATTAGTAGGGTAGTGGGGAAGATCTAGAAGAGTTGGAGAAGGAGCATACATAATTAGAATATACAATATGAAAGAAATCCATTTCAATAAAAGAATGAATAATAAAATTATTTCAAATATTTTGTCATAGAAATTCCATATTGTATATGAAATTCTAAATTATTAGTAATATAATACTATGTTTTCTGGCCTCTTCTATCATTAAAATATAAATTTCACTCATGATATACATATATATGTACATATATATGTATATATTACTATTTTAAGTGTTTCTGTTGCACATGTCTATAAATGATGCTCTGAAATATGTCCCTTTCTGTTCTGTTTGATTTGGTGAGAGCAGTCAGAAACACATATCAACTATTGAGAGTACCATACTTTGTCTTGGAATTCTACTTTCTAACTAATTGAAATTTCGTGTCCTTTGACAAACAACTCCCATGTAGCTGTTGGTATTCTCTGATCCAACCTCTTATATTCCATGTAACAGTTAGACCATGCGTTATTCATCTTTTAAAACTTGTATTTTTATAGTACAATATCCTCCAAGTTTGTCTATATTTATAAACTAAATTTGCTTTATTTAAGACTAAATATTTCAATATATATAAAACATTTTATCCATTCATTGTTTGCTGAAATTACAAGCAGGTTCCTTATTTTGATGAATAAAAATCATGTTGCAACGGTTACAGGAATGCATCAATGTCTCCAAGGCACAAAACTCCTGCCCTTACCCAGTAGTAGGTACATAAATCTATATGACTGCTCTACTCTTGGTGTTTCAGGTAATGTGTACATTGCTTCCCATAATAACTGCATAAACACTCACATCAAGAGTGTG